CCGCGCCACCAGCGCCGCCCCGCGCCTTGGCCGCCCCGCCACGCGTAGACTTCCTCGCGCTGCCCCCGGCCCCCGCCACGTCCCGCGTCGCGCAGCACCCAACAGCGCACGCCGCCAACGCGTAACCGTAGAACCCTTCACCCCGCTATTGCACCACGCACAGCCGCCACCCCATCAACCGTACCCAGACCCTTCACCCAGCTATGCACCCACCACAGCGCCACCCCGCTAACCGCGTACGAGACCCTCACCCGCTACCAACCACCCACAGCCGCCACCCCGCCAACGCGTATCCGAGACCCTTCACCCCGCTATGCACCACCCACAGCGCCCACCCCGCCAACCGGTACCGGAGACCCTTCACCCCGCTATGCACCACCCACAGCGCCACCCCGCCAACGCGTTACCGAGACCCTTCACCCCGCTATGCACCACCCCACAGCGCCAACCCGCCAACGCGACCGAGACCCTTCACCCCGCTAGCACAACCCACACAGGCTCCCCCGCCAACCGCGTACCGAGACCCTTCACCCCCGCTATGCACCACCCACGCGCCACCCCCCGCCAACGCGTACGGAACCCTTCACCCCGCTATTGCACCACCCACAGCCGCCACCCCCCACGCGTTACCGAGACCCTTCACCCCGCTACGCACCACCCACAGCGGCCACCCCGCCAACCGCGTTACCGAGACCCTCTTCACCCCGCTACGCACCACACACCTCGGTCGCCTCCGCGCACCGCACGTTCCTTCCCGCGCACTCCACGTCCAGCACTTTCGCGCATCGGAGCCACCTCTTCCCGCACCACCTCTCACTGCCCGCCACGCCCCGCCTCTATCGCGAACTCGGCCCGCCACACCAGCTCACCACATCGCCCCCTGCCTCTAACATACCTTGCCACCCTACCCCGCCCAGACCTCCCGCAACCACACATTACCCGTCGCCTCCGCGTACCGAGCCACTTCACTTCCCCCCGCCACGGCCCGCTTCCCACGTCCCATCACGCTCCGCCCCACCAGCAGCATCGTCCCACGCCTCCGCTTACCGAATCACTCCACCCCTCCCCAGGCTTTCGGCACCGAGCCACTCCGCCCCGCTCCTCCTGCCACCCCGCCCCGTACTCTCTCATTACCGCGCGAAAGAAAGCCGTTTGGTTCGGGGGAAGCTGTAAATTGACGTTACCTTCCTGGTTTGTATCAAATACTCGAAAGAGCTGTCGAGGGAGGGTGTGATGCATGTTGCGTGGCGGGGGTGGGGACCACTTCGCTTACTTTTTTCTTGGGGATGGGTAAGAGGAGATCAAACGCGTCTTTGCAAGAAAGTCTGCGCGTCTATAGCGCGAAATCTCGGACTTGTTTAGTTAATGACTACTTCGAATGAGAAGTGTTGGGGATTTTTACCTCCATATGTGACGTGCTAAGTGACGTATAAATGCTTTGGGTTCATTGGGAAATTTTTATAATAACTCGACTCATAATGAGATTGGGAATGTAAGTATGGAGCAGTGGTGTTAATTTTTGTATTTTCCATAAATTAAACAACAACATTTTCCTTTTTTTATTCCATTTATACAAAGCAAGAAATTTACAATTAAATGCACAAACTGATACAGATCTTCATAAACAATGGTTCAAATAAACAAAAGAGGAACAGTTCAGTTCAGAAATAACATTCGTCTTTCGAACGATACATAATATTTGTTAAAAACGCAATTTTCTTTGAAAGAAAAATCCTTGCAAACGCTAATCGACTTCGCGAATGGTAGAAGACATTCATATTCGTTACTTTGAAAATGTGAATATTTAATAAGTGGTGTTAATTAAAAAATCAATACGTTATCACATAATTGATCAGTGGCATTTTACACACACTCATACGCACAATCACACACTTCTACAAATGCCCTGAGTTACATTGTAAATATACCCAAGAGAAGATATACATAGACCTTTGTTCTTGGGCATGATAAGGAACAAGTGAAGGAACTTTATTTTCCTTGTTGAAAAGCACTTACTAAGCTTTTCACAAGCTTACGAACATAAATATTTAATTAAATTACATAAATAAATGCAAAATAAATATACTACTTTATCATTTGCCTTACGTGTCATGATTATGAATGGTAGACACGAGGAATTAATCGAATATCGAGACTCTAATACATCATATTAATACTTGTGTACATTCAGGTATCAAGCTATTGCAGCAGATATTCAGTATAACTTCATATACTCTTACAGTTTATTTCACTGAAGAGCATTTCTTAAAATGCTTTGGGAAGGTTTGTGGTAATAAATCATAGCATTAGCGTGCAGATTACGAGGTTTGAGGAAACATCGTCTGCTGGATGGGTAAACAAACATTACTCGTAGATTAAAATTTTTGAAAGTGGCTGTTGGTGATTAAATTAGTATTGCAGTCTTTTTGTCTCGGTGAAGTTAACGCATAGACCTTCAACATAATCAAAATTGTTTAAATATTTACCAGTAAAATCTCTGTATACATTTCTGCTACTGAGATCAAGTATGTTATTTATTGGTTAAAAAGGAGCACGAACATTTCCCTTGTTAAGTGGAAATTATTAAAAATTATTTATTACTTGATTTTTCACGTACGTTTATTATTAATTCCATTTTTTTCTTTTGAATACTGTAGTGTGATGATCATGTTTTTAAAATGTGTACACCGGGTGTACATTTTATGAAACCTTTGTGATATAAATCATGTTGTTTACGAATATTCACGATTTATGAACATCGAATTACGAATATTCATGATTTATTACATGAAATGAAATTGTGTGGCTGTTCTAACACAGAGGGCTTCTTATCCCCCGAAAGCCGTCGAAAATTGTAATGACTCTCGACACACCATGTTCTGTCAGCATCCATGCTCAACACCTATAGTACCTTTGAGATACCAGTTAAGGAAGAGTCGTGTGGATTGGTTATTCGATGATATGTACAACTTCAAGTATAAGTTTTGTTGCGTTGAATCTCAATTCAGGTGTCAACTCATATTTTATATCACGAGTCATTTCAGACATCGCAACACTTGTGGTGTTGTATCACTCACCTTCCTCATTTGTCACGTAAATTGTCACTTTAGTTTCATAAATTGTTGGGCTGAGCAGCTCAAACTACTGAGGATACCTGAGGATGCGCGACCAATGTAGTTCAGCGACGAGTCTGATGCCGAACTCGACGCGCGGAATCCGGCACCCACTTGGTACCAGAGTACGCAAAGGTGAAAACCAACTGAAACGAATGTTGTGTTAGGTGTTTGGAACAAATTTACCCATAAGTATTGATACTTTAAACCCAGGTTTAAATTCAATCATCAATTCACTTGTAATGCCATGCGCCAAATCGGATGTTATTTTGGAAGACACTCGTCACGTTTTTTGTCATAATACAGAGCAGCTGCTCAAACGTTCTCCTCAAGGCGGATGCAATGCAGCTCGACGACGGTCCTGACGCCTAACTCGGCGATCGGCGCCCTGCACACATACAGCACAATGGCGTCACGTCATGTGTCATGTCACGCGTCAAATCAGATGTTACATCAGGTGTCACGTTTCTTGCCATAATACAGAGCGGCTGCTCACGCGTTCTCCTCGATGCGGATGCGCACCCGATGCAGCTCGGCGACGGTGCTGACGCCGAACTCCTCGAGCGGCGCGCGGAAGCAGTCGCCGGCGTCGAGCACGCGCTCCAGGTCGCGTCCGATGTCGTGCACGGGCAGGCGCTGCGCGACGCGGCGCCGCACGCGCCGCCCCTGCGCGTCGCCGCCGTCGCCGTCGGCCAGGTCGAGGCAGGCGTCGTAGGCGAAGTCGGCGGCCGGGCGGCGGTCGCCCAGGTAGAGCACGGCAGCCAGCACCTCGCGCCTGGCCGTGCGCACGCGCACGCGCGCCAGGAAGCGGTCGCCGCAGCACAGCAGCACGCCGAAGTTGTCGCGGATGCCCTGCCGCCCTCCCAGCTGCCGACAGGACAGGGCAAAGCCTCGCTCAGAAGGTGGGCGGATTGGACAGGAGTTTAGGCAGGAACGGTTCAGTCAGCTGGGCGAAAAAGTCGCCAAGATAAAAAGAGGCAAAGAAAAGGAAAACGATGTTTTAGAGTCAAATAATATTAAAAACTCGTATTGATCAGTGTAATGAAGTGTAAAAAATATGCATTTGTTTGATTAGTGTTTGCGGGCGCGTCAATTCTTAAGGTCGTTAATCTCGTAAGCGTAGTGCATGTTTTATCGCGGGAGGTGGCAGCGATCTTCTCCCGCATGATGACGCGATCCGGGGCCGATCTACATTGGCTTAAGAAGATTTCTCTCCAATCAGATATCTTCCACCGCCCTAGCCGGAACAGACTCTAAGCTGTCCACTGGTCTCCCGACAAGAGCGCTAATTCAGTGTGTATATGTGTGTGCGTTTGTGGAAGAAAGGGGTAAGGATAGGACAAGGAAGAAGAAGGAATGATCGTGTGTAGTCTGTGGCCCGTTATTTAGAGTACTGTTCGGGTATTCTTCTGGTGGTGATCGGAGAAACGACGGAAAACTACCGATCAGATCAGCTGTTCATTAGAATTCTTCTCAAGACAGCTGCTGAATTCGACGTAGTCATCTAACTAGTGTCGAAAATCTATCTACACCTTCGGGACTCGAACTTTAGGACCTCCCGATAGAGGCACTGCAGCGACATCAACCTTGAGGCAATTGAGCCGGGCGCGTGAGCGGAATGGAATTCAGGCAGGAAGGGTGCAATCAGCCGAATGCAAAAGTCAGCATGGAAAATGTTACGGAAAAGAAAACAGTTATTTTAGAGTTAAACACTTCAAATTTGCGGAGAATCCTATATTCGGCAATCTGATAATTTAGCAAAATATGAATATAAGATGGAGTAACCATATAATTAAATTACGAATGTTTAATAATATAAAGATATGACTCAAAATAATATAAAGATATTACTATACTTCATACTCAAAAGAGAACAGTGTCTTTTATATAAGGAAGTCTACCGGCATATCAATCAGCCAAAAATACCGTTCGATTTTTGTATTTGAAAATATTTAATCATTTTATTACAACCTAATTAGTTAATTAACAGAATTTTTTATGTCTTGCAACAAAATTAAAAATTGTATGAAAGTATTTCTCTTAATATTAACACTAATCTGTGGAAAAATGAATCTTCCTGGACGTGTGTATTGGTTTGATAACGCGGCCACGGCGGAATGAACTTTACTCACCATCAACTCGAGCTCTGAACCTCGTCCGATATGTAATGGATGCTGCAACTTCACGTGTTCCGAAAGAGATTGCATTGGGCCCTTCCAGTGGCACATGGGATCCAACCTACGCAAAAGGGAAACATTTCATTTTTTATTTAATATTGTTTTCTTAATTTACATGCTTGAAAAACAAAGTGTGTACGAAGTACACGTGAATAGAAACCATGAACAATTCAATTTTTAGTACGAGATAATTTGAATGGTTATTGATTAAGAAGGCAGTATTTAAAGACACAATTTAATTATGTAATTTTCAAATCACGAAACTCAGATTCCGTGAATTTGGAATCTCGACATGACATTGCAATGAATGATCGATTTTCGTTCAATAGCTTTGAAGTAACTTGACAGGTAGATGATAGATCAGCAGAGCCAAACGAGGACTTTTAAAAATAACGATAATGAAATGGAAAATGAATATTACATACTATATTACGAATACGGTAAAATGAAAAAGTCTGAAATAATATGGAAAGCGATGACGTGGACGATGGCAATGATTAAGTGAGATGAAGACAATAACTATCAAAAAGTGAAGGTAACGTTAAGAACAAAATCAAAAATAGAAATCAACTGTGGATGGTAAAAAATCGGAATATGATGAAAAAACCGAATATGATGAAACAACCGAATATGATGAAACAACCGAATATGACGAAACAACCGAATATGACGAAACAACCAAGTATGATGAAACAACCTAGGATAGTGAAACAACAGAGAGTGGTGAATCAACCAAGGATGAAGAAATATCCGAGGATGGTGAATTAACCGAAGATCTTGAAACTACTATCGAACGGCAATCAACTGACGATGCTCAAATTGACGATGGGTAGGGAAACAACTGCCGATAGGGAAACATGGTGGAATGATGTGTATTGACGATGGGCAAACACGTTGGCCCGATGAGAAAATGAATTGACCACCATCGTTGACACTGACGCGAGGCCAGGTAATCTTACTTTGGGCAGATGAGCGGGCGCCTGGGGCAGGCGAGCGCGTGCGGCTTGGCGTCGCCGGGCGGCAGCACGACGTCGCAGCCGGCGGCGCGGTGCGCGCAGGGCAGGAGCGCGGCGCGGGCCACGTCCTCGAGCGCGGCGTTGCGCGCGGCCAGCAGCGCGCGGCCGCAGCCGACGCGCGGGCGCGGCGCCGTCCACGCTGCACTCGACGCACAGCGAGTGCGCCCGCGCCGCACAGCGCCACGGGCGGGAACAGGAAGCCCCGCGAGCGGGCAGCGCAGCGCGCGGTACATGCCGCGCAGCGTCTCGAGCGCGCGCGCCGCCGGGATGCGCGCCAGCGACGCCTCCTCGCTGTCCTTGGGCGGCGACGCCACGCCCCCGCCCCGCCCCCGCCGACTCAGCCGACTCCGCCGTCAGCATTGGGCGCGCGCTCTGCGGGCACGCGCCGGCACGGTTCTCAGTCGCAGGCGACTTAGGATTATTATCATTGTTACTATTATTACCATTATTACCATTATTATCATTATTACCATTATTACCATTATTACCATTATTATCATTATTATCATTATTATCATTATTATCATTATCATTATTATCATTATTATCATTTATCATCATTGTCATTATTATCATTATTATCATTATTATCATTATTATCATTATTATCATTATTATCATTATTATCATTATTATCCAACTGCACATCTCCTTAAGGCCAAGGGCCTCCTACTCGCGCAGCGAATTACAGACTCTTCTTTTAGTGAAGTGATAGGATGATGATGATAGAAACGATCACAAATACATCCATGCCCGAGACGGGGTTCGAACCCGCCCCAATCCTTCGATTCGAGATCGCCACGACACAACTATCTTAGCGATCTCGGCAATCCAATCGTAATCCATAAATTAAAAAACGCTAAAGAGGGGAGGGGTCTGAGGAAGCGTTACGCTGCGTTACATAGGGGGAGGGGTATTAGTTAAGTATTACGTAATATTGATTTTTTTTACAATTTTCAACATTTGCTGAATTAATTCCTTTTCTGAGTCCCGAAATAAAACTTTAAAATTTTAACAAATGATTTTTTTTTCAAAAACCATAAATCAAGTTATTAGTAGTACAATAAATGGATATACTTTTTCAACATTTCTTTATTGAAATTGTAAGATTACAAAGAAAATATTAAAAATCGACATGGTTTATTCTAGAATCCATTTAAATTGGTGCTGTACACTCGCTCTTGCATCATCCACGACGGCGTGTGAATAGCTTGTGATCAACAATTTCTCGCCCAAGCATTCTTCCTTCACTTTCAACTCGCCGCAATCTTATTGTTAGGTACAATCAGAATCGTCAACAAATTTCTACTTTAATTATTATTAATTACTTTAATATGCAACACAAGTAAAATAAATACATTGTTTTTACTGTGCTATAACTTATTTTAACTTTTTTCAATATAATTTAATATAAAAATTATTACATAAAGTAATTTATTATTTTCACAGCATCCACCACTTCCTTTCACCACTCACCACTCACCACTCACCACTCGCAAATCTATTGTAGTATTCCATCTCTTGTCCCACAATTCCCTTCTATTTTTCACTTCAATTGAACATTACATGTCGCTATTCTGGATCTTTAAAATGGGAAATTGAAGACTAAAACAGCGAAAAAATATTCGCGACACAGCGAGAAGCGGCGACAAGATCCGAACACGTTTGAACGCGCAGGACACGGCCTTATAGGTCTCCTCTCTATCCTTCACAGAGAGAGCTCTTTTGCTATTTCCTTCAAGCAAGAATCCTCTCACGTCACTTCCGTCGCACCGCCCAGGATTATCGCATCCCAGTCGAGAACAGATTCGCGCAAATCCTAGACAGTACTTCTGCCCTCGGCAAGAGAGTGGGGGCTCTGGAGGGCTCTTGCAGTCGCGGTTAAAGTGAGGCAGACGACCCTGGGAGCCGCGACGCAGTTTGGAAACCCTTACATAAACGATTGTCGTGCTTAAAGTGCAAACTATAAATAATGTAAATAATGTTCGATACTAGATTATAAAATGTTAATAGTTAATATGTTAGGATGTAAAGACAAAATAGATATCTGTTAGATCGTAAGTATTTTGTTTGCAAGCTAGGCCGCAAGTGTTCAGTGTAAATAGCATTTAAGAATAAAAAAGAAAATTACACTTCACAACACAACTCTCTTATACAGCCTGGTTGACTCTCCTCTGCGCATTGCCCGGTTGAGGATGAGGCTCGAATAGAACGAAAAGTAGGAGATAAGACTTCAATCAAAAAAGGCATGCCATGATGATTAGCAACTCCTTGGTACCCCAAAAATCCTTTAGAGTGTTTACTTTTGTTTTGAGAAACACGTGCAAGTGTATTATGAAGATCCTTATTTAGGCGACTTTTGAATTTTAATGAGATCATTCTTCATATTATTTTGAAATTTAAAAATTAAGTCTCTATAAGTTCCAGACAATTTGGTTAATAGAGTTGCTAATATTTTGTTAGCAAATTGGCAGCTGCCATGCAACAAACAACATTCTTGATCTAGGTTTCGTTGGCACAAAATTACCGAGTTAATAGAGAAAATGTATGTTATATCTGACTCTATTTAATCTTCAGAGCTTGTAGAGGCGGGATAATTTTTTGCTCAAATTAATGGAAACGTCAAGGGACTCATTATTTCTTCAAACCAAATTAGGGAAAACCCTCAATAAATATCAAAATACCCAAAAATAAAGATCACCGTTATACCAATAAAATAATAAAATAATTTACATATGAAATAGAAAGATGAATATATAAAAAATAAGTTTTACATGTTTCCAATATTCTTGGAGGCATCGTAGTACTGTTTTTTTGGTTGTTTTTCACTTTTATCTCAAATATTCGGGGTTAACCTTCTTCGTTCAATTACTCGTCTACTCATAGTATATAATGCCTCAATCTAATCCTCCTTCTGCAGACAACATCGAATCGTGTATGCTTCCTGCGTAACTGCCAGGCTGCGTCAGAGATAGTGACGACGAGATACTAGGGAAGCGTTTATATCTGAGCAACTCAAAACATCACCCAGAACTTGCTGCAGTAGGTTCAAAAACACAGCTCGGGTAAGAGCTATTCGTCATCTTGATAAGAAAGCAACACGAGAAATTATTTACCGAGTGATGCGAAACCCACACAGAGTTACGAGCTTGGACCTCCTTATAGAATAAAAATTAATGCAAGTTTAACCTGCTTCCTAGACAATGAAGATAAAATCACTGTGCCTATCTGGAGAAATTAAAACATTTGATTACTCATCGCTTCCAATACTGTACTTCTACCTGAGCGATGTAATAAAGTAGATGACAGACCAAAACTCTGAATGTGGCTTGCAGGTGCCTCTTCGGTAGAACGCTGCCTTTGGTTCTGTAATCTTCCCAATTTGGCGCAGTCATCTCTTGTTGAGCGGGGGAAGTTACCCAATTTGGTCTGGAGCCTAAATCAGACCGAATAAGGATTTCTATGAACGGATATTCGTATAACATCATTTGGATCACAGAACTTGGCTCCAATGCGTGTTGACGGTCTAATGGGGCTGGTATTCAATTTTCAGTGAATAAATCATTGTAACGAGTAAGATTAGTGTTACAGTGTTTACTATGGTGTCTAACTAATTTTGTGCAATTTATCGAAAGCCATTGTGAGCACTCAGAGTAAGTAATTGCAACTTTTATGCTACCATTACAACTATACTTCAGTATCTACTGTACAAGCATAGCAAGACTAACGGTGCCTTTGAAGTGGTCGTGCAGCGTTATATTACTTTTATATTTGGACGAGTTGCATAAATTAGACCAAAGACGTTTGACTTAATTGCGCCAATTCCTCGTAGGAATCCGGTAAGCATTAGTTTATATTTTTCTTTCTCGTCCAGAGAAAGCAATGGAATGAAATGTATGTAAACAGAACATGATACATGCGCCATTTGATACCCTCGCAGTGAGAGTAGACAGCACGCGAACGCAGTTGTATCAACATTTGGAAATATGGTAATAAGAAGTCCTCTTCATAATATTGTTTTTTAAAACATAAGAAACAATAGAACTAGAATGTTCAACAAGACACGTCTCATGTTTTTCTAAAGGGTCTGAGATATCATTTATTGGAGGAGTGAAAAGCACAGTTTTAACAAACAGCCCATCCAAACAGCAACTACAACAATCGGAAAGGCAAGGCAATAGATTTAATGAGCATAAGAGTTTTTTAAAAAAAGTTCACAAGATTGTAAAGAACATCAGGATGATGTTAAATTTATTTGGTTCTGTACGATATGAAAAAGAAAAATGAAGACATAATAGTTTGCCTGGGATGTAGATTATAGATTTACACTCAGTGTGTTCAAATTAAAGTTGAATCTACAACTATCGTATTGGGTAATAACGGAGTAACCTTGGATAAGTCTATGATAATCTGAATACTACCTTAAGGACCCAGTATTGGCAGAATATTGCTTTATCCCTATCACTCATTTGACGGGAATAGGAATGAATTATATCTAAAGTGAAAAGGGAAGACATTTTATGTATGCATCTTTGCCACACCACAGCTGCTTCTTGCCGCCCCGCAGAACAGGGGGTGCCAAAGACGAAACCACTGCCGGAGCAGTTCTTTAACAAACGGCCCGCGGACCGCGCGCGATCATTCCTTGTTAACCCTTGTCCTATACCCACCCTTACTTACACACACACTTACACCCACATACACTAATCTACCGCGTATTTCAGGAGATAAGTCGGGAGCTTCGAGCCTGTCCCGGTTGGGGTGCCCCGTTGGCGGGAGATACCTGGTTGGGAAAACCTAACAAGCCTACGAGTAGGTTGGCGCTGGAACTCCCCAGCAGTGGTGGAAGATCACCGTCGCCTTCCACTATAAAACATGCTCCACACTTACGAGTCTAATGACCTTAGAATTCGACGCTCCTGGGAAATGCCAATCAATCAATAACCACTTCGTTAGGGTGCCAACAGAGGCTTTTGTGTCAAAGCGCTGGCCGTTCTAATGCTACATGCGACTTCGAAATAGTACTTTGTACTATTTATTTTCAGGCTTGAACGTGATTTTAAACAATGGAATGTCACGTGTGGAATGAGAGATCAACGTACTCATTCCTTTCATAATTGATCCAGTAGAACTAAATGATAAAGCCAGCTGACTTATCACAATATGCGTGTTTCTTTTTTGATGGTTCGGGACTATGACAACTTGAGTGTCTTCAAATTCCACACTGACCTTTCATATTTTTTACAGTATCTTCAGTGGTATTATGCAATATTTCGCTAGTTATTGGTTGTAAATGAACGTTCTGCCATCGATGTTCTCTACAAAAGTTGTTTGCGCAGATATACTACATTTTTAAACAGTTTTAAAGGCGCACAATTAGGTTATAGTGATATAATTGTATAATTATCATCATGTTACTGTCTTTTACGAAATGGAAACATTACGTCGATTTGAATTTTCTAAATGCAATATTCTTTCTCTAAAGATGACACTGCTTTCGGTAGGAGCACCAATAATTTCAATATCCTTTTATTAATCTCGCATTGCCATCAGATCACAAGAAGTCTAAGTACAACGGTAATATTTGTTTTCAAGAATTCGTTTTCAAAAACTCTACATCGAGTTCTATTTGCTGATAATTTATTGTGAATGAAATTGTTATACCAATTGTCTTGTGTTCGGTGGTTGTAAAATTAATTGCTGGTAGTTTATTGATATACATTCATTAACTGTAGTGAGTTTAGTAAGGAGTTACTCTCATTGTAGACAGTATAAAAGTTGAATCACAACGTGAAACCCAAAAGAACCACCCACACCAAAGCTGAACTAATCATCTACTCGTATTCATTTACAGGCAAAGTCTGTAAGTTAATTTCAAAGTACACAGTCAGACATAAACGACCGAAAGACAATGAAATTTTCCTTTTGTGAGCCCGACCTTCCGAACTGTGCCGCCAGATCACACAGCGCTGGGTCCACATTGTCTTCGTAAACAAAATTCCATCGGCAGAATAACGCCCGATTAGAGGAGGCCGTGGCGGCCGATAGCGCAGGCGTCAGATAACCAGACGTATGGGGCCTTGGCCAACTTGTTATCTCCCACGCGTCGCCATTTATGAGTGTACACGCGCATCTGGAGCGGCACTTCCGGTAAAAGGAGCCCGTAAAAGGAGCGTCCTACGCGTATTTACGGGCCCTAGATGTGCGCGATCAAACGTGGGATGTCCCTGGAATAACGGACAGCTTCATCGTCCTTTATCGCATATGATCCTCGTACATGCAATTCCTCCTATTTCATCGTCGATCGTCATGATACGATTAGATGCGGTAGAACATTTTATTTGTCATGAATGAGTCTGTTGTTATCTGCCAGAGCTGGCTACCATGGCAAAGTTAGCGTTTGAACTTCTAATATTTATTTTATATTTTGTTTTGTTTAAACCTATATTACATCAGTTCATAAGTTAAGAAGAATGAAGTGTCTCCATTGTTTTGAGTTAAATGAAATACGGTAAATT